GATGCCCAGGTTCAAAGATAAGAGGACCTACAGTATAATCTAAGAAGTTTTGTACACGGAAACTTGGGAAAAGAAATCCAAAAATTTTAGCTTGAAAATCGGATCTCGTTCAAAAAAATTCTACAAATCTTCACCTTTGAATTCAAAATCCTGCTTATCTCCTTTTTCAGGTTCACACATTTTGGGAAGAGAGTTTGGACGAATCCGCTCTTCAATTGCTTGGCGACAGATTCGCGATTGAAGGCCTTGGCGGAGTGATTGCTTCAACGAATAAAAGTCTTCAGACCATTGTTTATGACGCTATTCGGATAGTCCAAGCAGCGAGTTTGTTAGCCATACAGAGTAACGCCAATGCCAGTGTGGTAAGATCAAAATATCGTTTTCCGCGCTTGTGCTTGATTATGGTCATTAGAATTGGATCTACGAATTGGCATCAGATGCTGCACATTGCGGTTTCGATTCTGTGAGGCTGTCAACGTTTCAATGGACCGATGCAAAGGACCAGGACAGTTATGAGAGAAAACTGCTGACATTGAAAGGGAAAGATTTGGAGTAAGTGAAAACTAGATGTTTTACATGTCGAACGCACAGCAATATTATCAGAGCGCTGTCTTCTGCTTTAAAATTTATTTACGCAACCAAAAATATGTTTTTTTTTCTACAACTAGTGGACTACGAGTTATAGTAAGATCTTGGTCGTGATTTAGAGGCGCCGTTACCGTATCCGCAGTTTCCCGTGATGGACTGATCTGCGAATGTATAGTGCCACACCCTTCTGGAAAGCTGAAGGCTGGAGCTCAACATGAAACCAGCTTGGTGGTAACAATGCAGCCAAAGGTGAGAAAGATGAAAGTAGTTATACAAAAAGACTTTTATAATGTAAATCAAGGGTGTTGTGGAGACGAAACCGGTGCAAACAGACACAGCACAGAAAGTGGATCAGCTACCAGAAGAAGGACAACTACAGCTGGTAACCGACGAGGCAAGTGGTTTTCTTTGCAAGATGATCCATCCATGGACTTCTTGGTTTTGAAACCATCGCTTCATCCCCCCCCCCCCCCCCCCCCCCCCCCCCCCCCCCCCACAG